AGGCATCAGCAAATCCTGTTGGCTCTGCCTTTAAAATGCATTATTTAGTCCATTACTTCTTGTCACCTTCACTGCTACCAGAGCCTCCCTCTCATTTGGATGGCTGCAGTGGCCCCTTAAAAGGTCTTCCTGCTTCTGCTCTAGCCTTCCACAGTGTGTTCTCAGTACAAGAGTGATCCCTTCAGAGTATCAGTCAGATTAGCTCTCTTCTGCACCCTCAGAGTAAAAGTCAAAGTCCTTTTAATGGTCTGCAACAGACCCTGCATTATCTGGCCCCTGTCACATTCTGATCTGGTAATGGATTTTTGGATATGCATCAAATGAAAAACCAAACAAACATAAAGGAAAAATAGACAAATTGAATTTCATCAAAATAAAAAAACTGTGCTCTTCAAGAGACATCACTGAGAAAATAAAAAGACAACCCATAGAATGGGAGAAAATATTTGCAAATCATATACCTGAAAGGTAACTTCTATCTAGAATACCAAAAGAACCTTTATAACTCATTAACAAAAACATAATCCAGTTTTAAAATGGGTAAATGCTTTAAATAGAATTTCTCCAAAGAAATTCCATTTAAGAATATACAAATAACCAACAAGCACAGAAAAGATGCTTGACACCATTAGTCATTTTGAAATGGAAATCAAAACCACGAGATTCCACTAGACTGGCAGGACAATAACAGTGTTGGCAAGGATGTGAAGAAATGGGAACACTCATACTCTGATGGTTACAATGTAAAATGGTGCAACTGCCCTGGAAACAGTCTGGAAGTTCCTAAAAAAATTAAATATAGTTATCATATCATGTCATAGTTATGTCAGCAATTCCATTCCTAGGTACATACCCAATAGAATTAAAAACATGTTCACACAAAAACGTGTACACAATTGTTCAAAGCAGCATTATTCTAATAGCCAGAAAAGGGAAACAATCCAAATGTCTATCAAACGATGAATGGATAATGTGGTAGATACACACAATGGAGTATTATTGTCATAAAAAGGAATAACTGATTCATGCTACAACATGAATGAGCCTTGAAAACACTATGCTAAGTGAAAAAAGACCCAAAAGGCCATATATTGATGTTGTATAATCCATTTATATGAACTGTCCAGAATAGGCAAATCTATAGACAGAAAGTGGATCCTTGATTCCCATGGGCCTGGGGGAGGGTGGAATAGAAAATGGGTATGAGAATTTCTTTTGGAGTGATAAAAAGGTTCTGGAATTAGCTAGCAGTAATGGTCGAAAACCTTGTAATTCTACTAAAATACTACTAAATTGCACACTTTTACAAAGAGTAAGTGAAAAAATAAAATTAAACAAAAGGAATGTCCTATGAGGCCTTTGAACCTGGATGTCAAATTGCCAGCTCCAAGCAAAGTTCAATCCATCATCCAAGATGCACACCAAAAAGACAAATATTGATATAGTATTGATATAGTTTATTCTTATCAAGAGAATAAACCTGTGAAATGAGGAAAATAAATATAGTGAACATTTCCTCAACTTTTTAGATGACTATAGAGGTGTATCTTTCTGCTTTTTGAAGAATGACTGATCTTCCTTTTAGAAAAACATCTTACATCTTGTACAAATGTACATCTACAAATACATCTTGTACATCTTGTACAAATACAGGCATATTTGTTGAATTGAGTGATAGGGTTCCACATCAACACCAACCATCTCTATGCATTCAGCAAGTGTCTGGATGGCAGCCCAGGTCCTCTCAGGACAATGCTTGCTCCAAGATGGACTTCCTTCTGCCCTTTTCACTAACTGCCCAGGGAGGCCGACCACCAGCTGTCAGCAGTCTTCAGGTCTCGCCTTGGCTTGCGTGTCTGACCCACATGGTGAACACACCCTGGAGAGCCTTGAATATCCTTCAGCTTCTTCACTGGTAGAAAGATGGGGTCAGACTAGATCAGGGATATCAACACTAGGGCCCCTAAGAAAAGGTAGGTGGCTGGTGACCAAAGGGTTCTGAGGTTTGGGCATGCTGAGTCACAGTGTGGAACAGGCCCCTTACTGCAGGGCCTTTCTGGGCTTTAAGGTGTTGGTGTGAGAAGCAGGACAGATGTAGGGAATGAGCTGAGCCCTGTCAGATTGGGCTGACATTGTGGTTCTGGCACTCCTCAACTGTGTGATGTCAGGCAAACTATTCCACTTTCCCAAGCGTTAGTTTCCTCACCTCTAATACAGGAACAAGAGTAGCTCCATCACGAGATGGCTGGGAGGGAATGCGTCAAAGTGGAGATAAATGATTAACATTCTGTGAATTACAACTTTGCCCTGGCCCCCATGGGCGCTCAAGGGTTTTGAAGAGTAGGAGTTTGCCAGCAAGAGGTGAAGGTGAAAGGAACCCAAGGCAAGGGAAAGAGCAAGTACAAAACATGCAGGCAGGACTGGACACGGTAGACTTGAGAATGGCTGACATGCAGATGTCTGGGGGGACTCAGCATGGTGGGGATAGCGTGAGGGAAACAGGTACTAAGGAGTCATCGAGGAAGAGAACTCTTGTTGGAGTGGTGGGCTAGGACCAGATCCACATCACAAGGGGCCATGGAATGGTTTTAGTAAGCTCATTCTGTTAATTGTGCTGACCACAGTAAAGGAAGAGAGCAATGAAGGTGCTACACCGGCGAGGAGGAGGGTCTGGACAAGACCCTTCGCTCTCCTAGCCTCCTGGCCATCAGGTCCCTCTCAACTGTAGGAAATGCATTAAGACTTGGGGCCAGAGATCAGACTCAGGAGAGCTGAGAGGGCCCTCAGACACCCCAGGGGAGAAGTGAAGCAGGTAAGTGCCGGGCTTGAAGCTCTGTGCTGGGAAAGTGTGCAGGCAGCACACAGCCCACTTTGAACTAGGAATTACATTCACACGGTCTAAGATACAAAAAGAACAAGGAGACCAGGTGCAGCGGCTCACGCCTGTAATCCCAGCACTTTGGGAGGCCAAGGCAGGCAGATCACGAGGTCAGGAGATCGAGACCATCCTGGCTAACACAGTGAAATCCCGTCTCTACTAAAAGTACAAAAAATTAGCTGGGTGTGGTGGTGGATGCCTGTAGTCCCAGCTATTCAGGAGGCTGAGGCAGGAGAATGGCATGAACCCGGGAGGCGGAGCTTGCACCACTGCCCCTCTAGCCTGGGTGACAGAGACAGACTCCGTCTCAAAAAAACAAAAACAAAAACAAAAACAAACAAACAAACAAGAACAAGGGGATCTGAGAAAGAAAAGCAAACGACAGAAGAGCCCTAAAGGTAAACGCTGGAGGAACAGAGTGGCAGGGAAGGGAGGGACCTCTGAACCACTTTCTTTCCCTAGTAAGTAAAACAAGGTCTCCAAAGGGAGGTCAAACTTTTCTCCTTGAGAGCACCAGGAAAAATGAGCAGACCCTGTGCAGTTCAAAGAGCCTTAGGCTGTGTGATCTCAGGAAGTAACCACAAGATCAAGCTCTAGCAGGTGTCAGAGCAATGAGGCCACAAGGCTTCTGTACCTGCCTCACTCTCCTGCCTCCTTCACACCAGGATTTCAGCTCACTCTGGCTCCCTCTTACTCCAAAGGGAAGGAAAGAATTAAGACACCGTACCCGGTAGTTTTAACTTACAAAAAAAGTATTTATTCACCCAGTTTTCCTCTTCTTGCCATAATACATAAGCATGACACAGATGGCCTGATACATCAGCATGGAATTGTCAGAAGGCCCCACCAGTCACTGCTTCTAGAGTTACATGACTGGCTTTTGTTTGGCAACAGGATAATAATTACAGTGTGGTTTCAAGTACCATACACAAAGCAGACCAACCCCAGGATCTCCAGCATCTGCGAAGGCTCACTGGAGTGGGCCTGGGAGCAAGAATCCAAAGCACTGCACAGATGATCAAAACGCTTCCAGTAGAACACTGCTGTGGCTGCACCTCTCCTTACAGAGCCAGAGTTGTCCACCCTCAAGCCTGCTCCGTCAGAGGCCTGCTTCCCTTGGCTGATGGTCAGAAGGCTGCACAACTGGGTCGCCCTAGGACACAGTCCCACATGCCATCCCAAGGCTGGGCCACCATCGTGATCTTTCCAGCTAGTCCATCCAGCAAAGTGGTGCTACTGCTGCTTGTGTGGAAGGGGCTTCCAGGTGGGCGGAAGCTTCCTGTGGATCAGGGTGAGTCCGCAGAGAATGAGGAACACTCCTCCCCACCACAAGACCTCCTGGCACTCTCCATACAGCACATAGCCCAGGAAGGCCTGTGGGACAAAGACAATTGTGAGGGACTCAACTTCAGCGGGTGGGCACAACCTCACTCTCCTGGGACTAACTTCCTTCTAAGGGTGCCAGGAGGAAAGGTCTGGAGCCAGAAGCCTTGGGCTTGAAACCTACCTGTCACCTTCATCAAGTCACTCTATTCAATCTCACCTGCACGAATGGAGAGGCTACCTCCCTCACTGCACTGGACCTCAGCAAAGCACACAAGAAAGACCCAGTAGAGGCCAGCAGGTAGATACAGCTGGTACCTGGTATTTGTTTCTCTCTCAATTCAAGATTGACTAGGCTCAGCTCCATCTTGTCAACCTTAGATTACATAGGGAAGAAAAGTCTCTGGGAATCCCAATGCTCTAAATCTCATGGAGCCTTGAGTGCACAGAAACCTAGGAAACAGCTAGGATGCACAGTGACTTCAGAATGAGGGCTCCACCCTGGAGGCACAGCAGGCAAGCAGGCTTTTTACTGTCAGGCTTCACTCATATCTAACTTGAGAATTCCTCCATGATTAGAATTACATTTGCTTCATGAATAGAGCATCATCCAGGGGTCAAGCCACAGCCCAACCTCTGCTTCAGTTCCTGTCCTTTCTCCTGTCTGGGAAAGGAGGGGTTACCCAAAGACAACTCACCCAGAACCCAGACTTAGGATAACAGCACCACACCCTCAGGCTACTCACCGAGCTGAGGATATTTGAAAAAGTCACTGTGACAGATGCAATGGCTGAAGACATGGAGAAACTGAGGCCCCGGCTAAAGAAGGTCCACATCAGAGAATTGGTGCTCGCCATCACAATAATGCCTAAGATGCATAAACCCATGCTCACCTGCAGGAGAAAGTGTCACTGCAGCCACATCCACCCTGCACAGCAACCTGCAGACCCCCTCACAGCACAGCCAGCGCTGTGGCTGCTGGCACCCAGGCTCCTACTGAGCTCCCACTACAGCTCAGAGGGCCTCAGAGCTTTTCTGCACAGGGCTTCATTTAACCCTCAGTGGGCAGCAGACCCATCTTACAAGTAAAGCAAATTCAGAGAAGACACTCATTTGGCCACCTTGCTGGCCATACGATCTTGGGAAGAAGCAAAATGCTAATCCAAAGTCAGTATTTTCTACTGACACCAGCCCCTTATTGGTCTTACAATGACCAGTGCCTGAAGATCAGTCCCAGAGGGCCAAGTAGTTCTTACTCCGTAGGTAGTATGAGTTAAGTCAGGGATGGAGTTCTTACTTCTTGAGATCAGGGAAAGCACGAATTAGCGATGTCTGCTCTGTATTCCCACCCCCAAATCCTATACAAGTTATAGCCCAGCAAGGCTCACCCCCTCTGGGCATTCTTGAGCTTTTACTCTGTGTTAGGCCCTGTGCTAAGAGTTTAAGCATTCTCATTTATTCCTTAACTTCATTTTACAGATAAAGACCCACGGGCATTAAGTAACTTTCTTAAAGTGCTACAGTGATGAGAGCCACCAGGCTTCACAATCAGGCAGTGTACCTCCATGCTGTTAACTAGGACACAGTCCTGCCTGGGGGAAACACCACCTCAGACTATTTAGTGATCCCAGACATTCCTTGGAGAACTTGCAGATATTTTCTTTCTTTTTTAAAGGAGAAAGTCTCAAGAAAAGAGAGGATCTTTAGAAGCCTCCTACACAAAGCATATGCAGCCCCCCTTGCTTGGTGGTGAGTTAGAAGCCGGCCTGGAGACAAGGCGAGGAGGGGAGGGTGCGGGGGGCGGAATCTAAGTATCATACTTATTACTTGTAGTGGTTTCTCAGCAGCGGAACACATAGTGTCTTGAGAAAAAGGTGCTTTCTTATAACTTACACCAGAGTGTCCAGTCTTTTGGCTTCCCTGGGCCACACTGGAAGAATTGTATTGGGTCACACATATAATACACTAGCACTAATGATAGCTGATGAGCTAAAAACAGTACAAATAAAATCGCAAAAAAATTCATGTTTTCAGTTTACAAATTTGTGTTGGGTCGCGAGTTGGACAACCTTGTCTTACACAAAGCAGCATATGGGCCAGTGGCAACCTGCTTACATAAAGGGTTATGAAGGTCTGGTTCATGACAACAAACTTCACGGCCCATAAAAGGTTATTCATTTTACTTTCGACCACCTACCCTATGAACTACACCCAATGGGATACTAACCTCAAGCATGGCAGCTCCTACTGGATTAGCCCTAAATAGGCTTAACCCTAAATAATCAGTGACCACTGTCCAGGTCAGAGGCTAACCCTGGGCTGCAGATGCAATGAAACCCCTCTAGCAAGCAGAGGCTGGTCTACGACATGGGACGGGAGAGGCAGAGATACACCTTAGCAGACGCCAGGAGGCAAGTTTGGGAGTTCTCAGCGTCAGGAAAACAACCAGAACGTCTCTGTCAGTATCTGCTTATGCCTACAGTATCCCAAACTCCCAATTTTCCTGGTAGTGGGGCAGACAGCTCATCTGGTCACAATACCCGTTAATTACGGAGTAAAGGGATGGGCAACAGGCTTCTCACCTTAAGAGTCACGTGGAGAGAAATGTTCAGGCACAAGGGACTTAAAATGAGAGGTAGAGGGTGGATGTAGGAGGTGTAGGTCTTCCCCGAGAGCGAACTAGCCCAACCGGAGAAAAGGTTTTAGGTCCCTGGTAAGGGAGGAGGCCTCAGTCCCCGACGTCTCTTACCGCCTACACTGGACGAGGGTTTGGCGTGATTAGAGGCGAAACACTCTCTCCCACCCCAGCTGACCGCAGCGCCGTGCGCGGCCGGGGGCCCCAGCCGGACAGACCGGCGAGGGTGCGGCGGCGCCCTGTGCCCACCCCCGCCCCACCCCAGGAGCCCCGCGGGCCCCGCAGCGCCCCTCCTCCGCCCAGCGCCGCCCAGCCCGCCCGCCCGCAGCAGCAGCAGCAGCAGCAGCGCCCCGGGCTCGACCTCGCTGCCGAAGGCCAGCTTGGCGGAGGCGGCGGCCAGGGCCCCGAACGCGCCGGCGCACAGGCAGTTGAATACGCCCCAAAAGCGGCGCCGCATTGCACCCGCCTGGAGGTGCGGAGGGAATTCCGCAGGGGTGTCGGGGTAGGCGGTCGCAGACACGGCGCCGCCCGGAGGCCGCGGCCTCTCGGCCATGTTGCCCGCTGCCACCGTGCCTGGCGCCAGCCGCCCGCAGGGCCGAGCGCGCGCCGCGATTGGACGGCAGCCTCACGTGACGCGGCGCTCCCGTGACGCGGCGCTCCCGCAGGCACTTTGGGAATCGCTCCCCGGCGCCTCGGAGGGGGCGGGCCAGGGGGCGTGGCAGAGCCTCAGGGCTATGGTGGCCTCAGGCTTACTCTGTAGTAGGTTTGTGCTTCCCGAGAGGACGTCGGGACCCGAGGCCTAAGGCCGAGCCCGGTACTGTGGACGCTGTGGTAGTAGGTAAACATCTCGCGGCTTAGCCGTCTCCATCCCGGCCACCGGGTCCCGGTGAAACTTATTAAAGATGCCGAACGGGCCCCGCCTCGGCCCACCGAGTCCATACAGGTCGACCAGGCCTCCTCCGCTCCACCCTCCAGCCTGAGGACGCCGTACCGAGATCTTCGGCAGAGGGCGCTGGGTACTGTTAGACCCAGAAAGACGCCAGAGCCCCAGATGGGGACAAGCGCATCACAGAAAACCAAAAAATGCGGATCCGCGATGAGAGGAAGATAGTAATCCATAATCAAGCCACGCAGAATCAACATGACTTCTAATCTCCTATTGCACTTACATATGTTTAAAATGTTTACGGCCGGGCGTGGTAGCTCACGCCTGTAATCCCAGCGCTTTGGGAGGCCTAGGCGGGCGGATCACCTGAGGTTGGAAGTTCCAGACCAGCCTGACCAACATGGAGAAACCCCCTCTCTACTAAAAATACAAAATTAGCCAGGCGTGGTGGCGCATGCCTGTAATCCCAACTACTCGGGATGCTGAGGCAGGAGAAGCGCTTGAACCCAGGAGGCATTGGTTGTGGTGAGCCCAGATCGTGCCATTGCACTCCAGCCTGGGCAACAAGAGTGAACTCCGTCTCAAAAATAAAAATAAAATGTTCCCATTTAAAAATTACATTTCCTTGAAAATAAAGTGGTGTTGAAATGTATAAAGTGCTGTTGCCACTCTCCAGGAAGATCAATGTTAATAGAGCATTCTTCTATATGTCTATTGTTATATACAGTTAAAGTGTTTTAAAAAATTATAGAATGTATATGCATTTTTTAAACAAAAATGATTTCACAGTTGAACATACTGATCAGCAGCATTCTTTTTGTATCTTATGTTTAGCAACTTTTTATGGAAGTCCTTCCACACTGTGCTGCTTCTCTCACAGGGTGGTTTTGTGGCTCAAATAAAAGCACGGATAAGGCTGAGCGCGGTGGCTCACGCCTGTAATCCCAGCACTTTGGGAGGCTGAGGTGGGTGATTATGAGGTCAGGAGTTCAAGACCAGCCTGGTCAAGATGGTGAAACTCCATCTCTACTAAAAGTACAAAAAAAAAATTAGCTAGGCATGGTGGCAGGCACCTGTAATCCCAGCTACTCGGGAAGCTGAGGCAGATAATTGCTTGAACCTGGAGGCGGAGGTTGCAGTGAGCCGAAATTGCACCACTGCCTTCCAGCCTGGGTGACAGAGTAAGACTCTGTCTCAAAATGCAATGGGTGTGAATCCATGGCTCCAACTTCAGCTTGAGCTGCCAGGCTGCAAGCCATCCTCTCCATTCAGCCCCTGAGTAACTAA